GGGTTGAACTCGGATACGCCGACCAGCCCCTTAACCAGAGCACTAGGGAAGAAAACCCACCGAACCGCCACCCCGGCCACCCGACTAAAACCACCAAGCAGCCCGGGCAGCAACCTCCCCTCGGAAAGCACATCGACGCCATCACCGCTACGACACTATTTGAAGTGTTTAAGCCGAGTACAAAATAAATTCCGACCTTGGATCGTGTCTCTCGATGAAGGTTGTTTGGACACGGATTCAAGCAATGATTAACTCACACAAAAAAAGAAAAATAAAGATCCTAAACACTCTACTCGCAATTTGGATGGTTGATTATAACTAAAGATCACAAATTTAAAGCAAGAATGAAAGCAAAATTCAATTTTTAAAGCAAGCAAGTCCTCAAGTGGCAATAAAAAAGAAAATAGAGGGGAATAGAACTAAGCACCCTAAGACCCGAGATGGAAAGAAGGCATTAATAACTCATAAAAGCTCCTACTTTTATCCTAGAAAAATTTAATAAGTAAAGACAAGAAAAACTTACTAGATCTTGGACCTTAAACTAAGTCTCAAGTCTCTAGTAGCATCTACGAGAAAAAATAAGCCGGAAAGTTGCAATCTTGACAAAGAAATATTACAATAAAAATTAGGTCTTGTAGCCCTTAGAGAGAGAAAGAAACCAGAGAGAGGGAGAGAAAAAATAAAAGAAAAATCTTGCAAATGAGAAATTTATCCCAAAGATATAGACAACTAAGTCTATTTATAGTTATATCAAAAACACAAACTAAAAGTACACATATTTAATGAAAACCACAGCTCACTGGGTCGCCAATGGAGGTTCATCCCAAGTGTGGAGACTTGGGCTGGTCTCAAACCTGGACTCGTGGCGTCGCGGACGAGCTCTCGCGGCGAGTGTCGAGTCGACACGGGTCTCTCGCACCCGGGATCGTGGATGAATGTATGGCGGGCGAGTGCAGGTCTCTCAGTTTTTTTATTTTTTTAATTTTTTTTATCTTAGTTTGTGTTAGCTAGCGACTCTAGGATGGAGAGCAATAGTACTCAGTTAGGGTAGTCCTCCGCTAGTTTCAGTTTAGTAGCTGATTGATTCAGATGTTTAACTGTGCTAATCTATAAATATTTATGTTTGTTAATTATAATCTATCGTTTCTAAAAAAAAAACCAAAAAAATAACAATTTAAAAAAAAAGGAGGAGGAATCACCCAACCCCGGACTAGACATGGTCAGTCAATGGGTTGGGGCCCGGTCCGGCCCGGCGACGGTCCACATAAGCTTGGCTCGGGACGGAACCGCAGATTGCTTAGGGACAGATCATCGGACCGGCCCGGTCCCGCCGGTTCTCCGGCCCGCGGGTCAATTAAAAAAAATTAAAATAAAAAAAAATGACTGTGGTCCTATCTTAGCCCGCGACCCGGACCGGATAGTTGGGACAAAAAAAAATATAGGCCAACCGGGACTGAACCGTGGTCCTTGCAGTCTGGTTAAACAAACCGGCCCTTACGTGGCCGGTCCGGAGCCGGTTTCGGTCCGGGTCGACCCGTGGCCATGTCTACCCTGGACTAGCTATATATCCCCGGAATTCAATTCAAAGTTGACCCAATCAAATGCCTATTGAGTATTGATCATATTTCAAACCTAAAATAAAAAACTACAATATAATAATATAAAGATAATGCTAGGCGCCGCTAGCTTCTAAGCAAAGTCTTCAGCTCGGCAAGGTCTTCCTCCTCACACGTACAAATCAATCCAAGACCATAACTAAAATTAACCTAAGGGAAATAAATAAATAAATGCAGACGACGTGATTCTCTGACATTATTGGACCTGCCAAAAAAATCAAAGGAAGTTGCTAGGAAGTGCCCTAAAAGTCTAATATTCTATTAACCTTGATCGGTTTTGCTATGAAGCCAACAGTTGGCTTCATAGCAAAACCGTAACCTTGATTTGAAACTCTATCTCCTCATTATGACTACGTGTCAAACAATGAGTGGGCCGTACTTGTTGACCCCTCCAATCAGGATAATTTAAAACTACCTTCCACACCTTTGATTATTCCACGTTTTGGTCTTTGCTTCTTTGCCACAAAGTCTTGTTGACCCCTCCAATCAGGATAATTTAAAACTACCTTCCACACCTTTGATTATTCCACGTTTTGGTCTTTGCTTCTTTGCCACAAAGTCTCAATTTGTCGTCTGCTTTTTGTTGTTTTTCTCAATACAGTCCAGAAATTGAGAACTAGAACGAGACAAAAATATAATAATATTATTAATTTATATACACGAGCACGAGCAGATAACATAACATAACATGGCTATATATAATACATTATTTGTCCTATTCTATTGCCCTTCTCTTTTTGTCCTTTTGGTCACGTAACAAGATTTTATAAGGTCAAACGTTTATTGTTACTGAAAAATGAAAATGAACATCCCAAGTTGCTTACAACAAGAACAAATTATTATCTAAGGCAGTCCAGCTATGATCTAGCCATGGTCGATCCGTTTCTTTTTTTTTTTATTTTTTTTTATAATTTAGAAGTATGATATAATTTAGAAGTATGATTATCTATAAAAAAAAAGTATGAACGTCGATCTCAGTAACTTGTAAAAAAAAGTAATTGAGACATAATATTGGATGTCCGAATATTAAAACGGGTAGATACATATATATGATAATATTTAGGAAAGTTGAAAAAACAATAACAAAAGAATGTGTATCCTCTGAGTCCTGGCTACACCTTTGCCCCCGACTATTACATAAAAACAAAACAAAAACAAAAAAACAACTATATGAACATGTCATTTAATCCACAATATACCCCATAATTGAAGTATGGAAAAAAAAAAGAGGCTAATAACAAATGAACTGTTGAATTTAAATAGAATATTAAATCAATTTATGTTGGGACCGTTACTGTTATTCGGATGAGGATTAGGGTTGTTGTTTTGGGTGTAGCCGCCGCCACTGATAATCGACGAGATGGCCGCCGCCAAAGCCGCCGTGAAATTCGGGTCGGCCGTTATTGCGGCCGTGGCAGCACTCAGCGTGTCGGGAGCAAGCTGAGTCAGAGGATGATGTGGCAACTGAACCACCTCATTGCCAGCATCACGCGACATTTGAAGGCCCGAGAACTTGGACTGGTTGTAAAGGCCCGGCCCAAAAGGTGATGGGCCTTGGAATTGGGCCGCCGCCGGTGGAGTTGGCCTTTGGTAGTGCATTGGGTTGGGTGATTGGGTGAGGTCGAGGGTTACGGTTGGGAAAGGGGCGGAGGCAGAGATGGTTGCCATGCTGGCAGCCGACGAGCACGGGAGAATTGTTCTTGCAAGGAAATTATGGTTCATTAGGTTGTCTGAACTCGGCATCGAGCCGGAGAGGAGCATGCTGGCGGCGGCTGAGGTGGTCGATGCCATGGCCATGGCGGCTGGCGGCAACGGGTGGTTGTGGGTCCCCTCGTAAGTCGTGATTAGGATAGTCCGATCCTCCGCGCATCTTTGGACCTGTAAAATTTTATTAGGGCGCGTTTGGATACAAATATATCTGTTCAAAACTGAGTTTTTTTGTTTAATTTTAAAAAAATATGGTATGATTAGTTGTTTGTGAGATTTTGAGTTTGTATTAAAATAATATTTAAAATAAAATTGAGAATATGTGTGTTCTTCTCTAAGTAACTCAAATAATGGTATCCAAATCTATGAATTTAATAAGTTAAACAAAAACTTACTTGTTTGCGAACTGGACATCCGACAGCCATCGTACACCGGTAATAAGCTCGCGGGCACGGATTTCCCTTTGCCATTTTCTGACCGTATTTTCTCCATTGGCATCCGTCCGAAATCTATACACGCGACCCAACAAATGAATATAAAAATCCAAGCACAAGCAAATCAATGAGTAACTAATAAGAATGAAAACATTAATTAATTCATAAAACAATGTTTGATGTGATGTATTGCTTTACCATGGGAGCTTCTGATCTGGCGCGGACCGATACACGGGCCTTCCGCATGGTGGCCTCAGATTGTTGTTCTACGGGCTTGGCCAGCTTGGCTGCCTTCTGTGGGCCCCACCCCTCGGATTCCGGGCTTTCCTCCCGGCCCGCCCTTTTGTTCTTTGAGATGTTGTCCACTTGGTTTCGAGGAGATTCAGACAAAGTCCGCTCTTCGGACAGCGAGTTCGACTGCTCGTCTCCTGTTTGGTTCGGTCCAAGTTCGAGGAACTGTCTGGGGACCATTGACTTACCCTTTTCTTCCGTCTTCTCTTCAGATTTTCTCTGGACCAAATAAAATACCAACATTAATAACGTTTTTTTTTAAAAAAAAAAAAACTAATGTTCATTAATTAATTTGATAGTTAATAATTTAATATTAACTAGTTAGTTACCTCTTGTTGTTGAGGGCTATCGGTTCTTGAGTTTTGCATTAACGTGAGGAGATGCATCTGAAGGGCCGAGTAATTGGAGGTCACTTGACTAAGCATCCCTCTTAACTTGTGATTTTCAGCGTTCATTCTTTCGAGCTCAGCTTGAAGCTGTGCCAGCTGAAAAAATTGAAATAAATATATTAGTATATAAATATATAATTTTAGTTAAATTAAATCAAGTAAAATTCATATATTAATTTAATATTTTACCTATATAATTTTACTTAATTTAATTAAAATAAAAATCATGAAGAATAAATCTAATCGTTCACCTCATTTTTGGCATCGCACGACATCTCATCATCCACCGTCGATTGATCACTTCCCGTGTTGGCTATCACAAGTTGCAACCCAGTCTATATAAATAAAAAAGAGAAATAATATTAAGGACTAAATAAAATATTATTAATTTGAATATCGATTTTAGATCGATTTTCAGGCAAGCTCACGTTAACATCCGATTGTCGGCCATTAGAGCCCTCAGCCTCCGAATTATTACTATTTTCCTTCTTCACAACGGCGCCAACAGTAGGCTTCTTCCTCTCCGCGAAAAAATCCACCTCGCCCAAAACCGCCTTGCGCTCTCCTCCGGCAGGCGCGTCGGCGGCGGCGGGTTTCTCCTCGCCGCCAGATTTGACCGGAAACATGGTACTGATCGGACGATCCAAACACGGACTCAAATCAATCCCAAAAAGCGACGACTTGTTACCGAAAAACCCAACTCGGTCAGACTTCTCAAGGGCGAGACCCCATCCTCTGTCCATAAATAATAATAAAAGGCCAATAAAAAATAAAAATCAATTAAATATGGGTGCACTTATTTTATTTTATTTTTTAATTTGTGATGATAAGGAGGAAAGAAAGATGTGGAAGAAATAAGGATAGGAAAAAAATGGTGGAGGAAAAAAATGGTGGAAGAATGTGAGAAGTCTTTCACGAGTGCAATGGACATGTCTATTTAAAAGGGTTTTTTGGGTGTGGAAAAAGTATGAGTTTGGACTTTGGATCGACGAAAATTATTTAATTTAATACTAATAATAATAATAATAATAATAATAATAATAATAATAATAAGAGTAGTCATTTGAAAAGATTGTTATGGGTGTTATGTGTGCAGAGTGTGAAGAGGATTTGATAAAGTTACGTAAGACGGTGCGTCACGGATGGGCCCGCCTCTTGGACTTTTGATGACAAATGGAGGTTTCGTCCGAAGTTCGTCAAGAGGACTCACTTTGACTCATTCCTATCTATTTAATAATGTTTATTTTTATTCTATTTTGCGTTTTTTTAGCCTTATAACAACACAATTAATTATTACTTGTACGTTTTTGGCTAAATAGCTAAATAAATTTCCATATTTGATCCATTTGCTACTTAACTTCATTTTTATACAATAATAAAAGATGCTTTCTCTCTTTTATGTACCTTAAATCAAATAATGCGTGGAATAAATTGGATGTCTCTGCTCATTGTATGAGGAAAAGGAAAGTCAGACTTGTCACGATTGAGAAAATTAAAAATAAATTCAGAGTTGCAGCTGATGATATTATTTCACAAACTTACAATTTTGAAATTTTATTTTTCTTATGTTCGATACAAATTTTCTTTATCAGTGTGATCACATTTAAATGTGTTAACACTAAATCTCGATTAAGGTGCGCGATTGCACAAGTAACTTGAAATTTTAGAAATTTTCAAACTTCTCCAAATATTACAAATTGAAATTTTAAATTTTAGATGTGTCATTATTGCACTCTCCACGTTACATACCAAACCACACACACAAGTCTCCATGTTACATAAATTTAAGAATAAATTACAAATAAATTAAAATTGAAAATTTAATGTGCAATGTAAAATAAATTATTCTTCGATACTATGCATATGTACATGTGCAAATAAAAATTTGCACGTTATATGTGTATATAATATTTAAAATTATAAGTTAGATAATAAATATATCACATTTTATAAATTTTATTATAAGTAAAAATGAATAATATAAATGTAACTATTTAATTTATATATAAATTATTATATTTATCACAATAAAGTAATTTTTTAAGTAAAGATGACTAATAATATAGATAAATAAACTATTGAAATTTTTTATCATAGAATTGTGTGCGAATTTTTAAGTGGTTTCGTTATGATAAAAAAAAAACTAATTAACTAATAAAAAAAAATACTAGATGAGTTCTAAGATAAATGATTTAATAGTGATTAAAATAAACAACTTAAAAAATTACAATAAATCTTTTTGTATGTATATATTTTCATATATCATTTAGCGTGACTTTATGAGTAGTAAGTGATAGCAATTATATAATAAAATAAATAGAAAATATACTTACTTGAATAATTCAACTTTTTTTTTCAAAACTATTTGAATAAATTAACGAGAAAAAAATTACTTTTGCATTAAATTTTTAGCTTA